TGCACCTCCAAGGTCATGGGAATTCCATGGTCGAACTTCTCGGCAACTTTGTTCGGGGAGGCCTTCGCTGTTGCACCCGCGGCCGACTCTGGGCTGGAGCTGCGGTCAACAGAACTTGAGCTGCCCTGAGCAGCCGAAGCGTCTGGTTCGGAGGTGGCGCCCTGCGACGCGGCCGCGGACACTACGTCGGCGTTGGCGTCCGACTTCACGACGTTGTCCGACTTTGCGTCGGCATCCGAGCTCGCCCCTGGCTCGGAAGAAACAGTCGGGCTGGGCGTCGGGATCGCCGCAAATCTCGGCGTCGGGCTCGGCGTCGGGTTTGCCGCAGGGCTCGGAGTCGGGCTCGCGGGGCTCGCGGAAACGGGACTCGCAGATTCAGCCGAAGGGTTCGCGGGACTCGCTGCCGACGGGCTCGCGGAAACGCTAGACATTGCCTTGGCCGCAAAAGAGGGGCCAGATACGCTCGAGCCGATGCGGCCTGACTGAGGAGGGAAATAACGATTGGGGGGCGCGGGGACCAGAAACAGGAAACTGATGATAAGGAGGGGCGGGAGAATATGGTTTACGATCGTCACCGTCATCACCATCACCATCACCATCATCACCATCGCCGTCATCACCATCATCACCACTACCCGCACCATCTTCATCCATACTGGGGACACTCAGTTGACTCACTAAGAACTCGCGCTACCAATAACCAGAAGGGTGTATAAAAAAATTCACGCAACTAAAAGGTGCGCGGCAGAAGCTAAAGTAGGGGGGGCGACGTTGCCTCCTCTATCCCTAGCCCTACCCCTAGCCCTATCCCTATCCCGATTCTCTCATCGTGGACCCTCCTTGTGACTACCCGAGCGTGGACCCCAGTCGTAACGGTGTGAAGCTGCGTAGGGCCGTCTGCAACAAAAGCGTCATGTTCAAATCGCGGCGACTCTCTTCGCGCCACGCACAGGCGTGGTACAACTTCCCCATAAATTCACGGATGGAGGCCGCGCCTGGTCAATGGCACCCTTGCGGCAGAACGCTCGAAGAGCTGTGCAGAGTTACGACAATGGGGCCACGACGGGAGGATCGGGATATGGATCGGGTTAGGGTTGGGCGTTCTTTTCGTCTTTTAAGCCTATTGACATCTTAAACAGCGTTGGTGAACACTAAAACGCCGAAAGCGTGCACTAAAGCATGCCGAAAACTCCATGACTGAAACTATAAAAAAACACTCCGAAAAAAAAAAAAAACACTTCATGATATAAACAGCTCACGCGCGCGAGTCCCATATTCGAAACTAACCGCAATAAGTCGCAGGGGTGCTCTGCCATCCCATAAACAAGGCCATGCGTCCTCGGGCAACGCCCCCGCGCCACGACGACGACGACGGTGGCGGCGGCGACGAAGGCGGCGACGACGGCGACGGCGACGGCGACGGCGACAACCACGACGACGACTACGCGACTACGCGGCGGCGGCGGCAGTAGTCGTGGCAGTAGTCAGTAGTAGTGAAGACGACGACGAAGGCGGCGACGACGAAGGCGACGGCGACGGCGACGACGAAGGCGGCGACGACGGCGACGACGGCGACGGTGGCGACGGCGACGGCGATAGCGATGATGTATCGGCATCCAAGATCCGCCAGGCGCCAGGCAAGAGTCCTTGCCACTGCACATCAAATACAAATTCTGAATTACTAATTAGTTTCAGGAGGATTAGATGAGCTCAGAGGGGAGAGGGGAGGGGATGAAACTCAGAGGGAGGGGATGAAACTCAGGGAGGGAGAGGGGAGGGGAGAGGGAGGGAGAGGGGAGAGGGAGAGAGAGGGGAGGGGAGGGGAGAGGGGAGGGGATGAAACTCAGAGGGCAAGGGACTCAGAGCTCAGCGGGTCACCCGTCATCCTCCACCAGCCTCCATCGCACCGCGTGCCTGGGGATTGAGGTTTGAGGGTTTGAGCTGAAGGCGATCAGGGATCCAGGTATCAAGGATCAAGGTTCAGGGCCTCCTCCCCCCCTCCCCCCCCTCCCCCTCGTAACGGGCAACTGGGGGGAGGGGCCCTTCCACCCAGGGAATTGGGAGTTTCAGGTTGGGGGGAGAAGGGGGGGGAGGAGGAGAATGCGGAGAAGAAGGAGGAGGTGGAGGCCTTGATCACCTTCAGCTCGTTACCCTCCAGCCCCCACCAGCGCCGAAGCCTCTGGCGCATGGACTTCTCCTCTGATCGAAGAAACACGCCTGTTACGCCCCAGCAGCGGCGGCGCCTCGCAAGGCGGGAAGCATTGGCGACGACGGTGGCCCACCTCAGTTGGGCTTGGCTCACCTTCTCGGGCTCCTCAACGGGTCCTGTCGTCACCTCCTCCTCCTCCCCCTCAGAAATAGGCCGAAGGAGCGTCCAGGACATCGCTGGGCGCTGGGCAGGCTGCAGAAACTGCGCGGAGGGAAGATGTGGTCTGGAAGTCCGGAAAGGCTCGAGATGCGAAGCTGCGTGGGGGTGGGGAGATGGGGGGGAGGATGGGAGGGATTGAGGATAGAGGATAAGGATGGAGGCATGGAGGGAGGATGGGGGATGGAGGAGGGGGGTGGGCAAGGAGCGAGGAGCGAGGAGCAGCGAAGGAGAGAGGGAGAGAGAGAGAGAGAGAGAGAGAGAGAGAGAGAGAGAGAGAAAGAAAACACAAAACACACACAAAAGAGAGAGAGAGAAGAGAGAGAGAGAGAGAGAGAGAGAGAGAGAGAGAGAGAGAGAGAGTGAGAGAGATAGAGAGAGGGAGGGAGAGAGAGAGAGAGGGGGAGGATTAGAAATTAGAAGGAGGAGGCGAGGAGAAGGAGTGAGAGGATGATGAGGAGGATGGAGAGGAGGAGGGAGGAGGGAGGGGATGGGGAGGCGGTAGATTGCAGGGGATGACGATGATGAGGAGGAGGGGAGGGAAAACGAGGGGGAGAAAGGAGGCCCACTCCGCATCTTAGATCTTAGATCTTAGCACGCTGGGCCAGGGAGCTGGGGGCGAGCGACAAAACCGCTAGGCGCGCCAGGCTCAGTGCTCTTGGCCTGGAGGCTCTGGCCAGGCGCCAGGCTCAGCGTTCTGGGTCTTGAGTCTTGAGGCCTTTCTTGGGTTCTTGGGTGGCTTCACAACACGGGGCTCGGGCTCAGCGTTGGCCTTGTGCTGCACCTCATGGGGCTGACAAGGCTGCGCGACGGGGGGCTGACCAGGCTGCGCAGGCTGCTGGGCTGGACGTCCGAGCGATGACCAGATGCCAGATGCCAGATGCACCTCATCACGCCTTGGGCTGCACCTCATGGGGCGGGGGCTCAGAACAGCTGGCAGAACGTGGGCGCTCCGGCGATCGCTCACGGGCGAACTTGACTTTGACCGTGAAAGTCACCTCATCCGCGCGATCCTCGCGGGTGCACGGTTCAACCCCGCGTCCCTTCCTTTCTCTTTTTCTCCCCCTCCTCTCTTTCCCCTTTCCTCATTCACCGTTCTTCCTCCGCCCAATCCTCCCTCCTCCCTCGCCTCCTCCTTCTCCTGCCCCTCCTCCTAGCTCCTAGCTCCTAGCTCCTAGCTTCCTAGCTCCTAGCTCGTAGCTCTACCGTCGCTCCTCCCCCTCCTCCTCCTCCTCCTCCTCCTCCTCCTCCTCCTATCCCTCATTCTCCTGCTCTTCCCCGCTTTCACCCCGTTGCTCCCGAAGCTGCTTGGGCAACACGATAGGAATATACAAATTGCCCGTGTTGCCGATCCGGACGTCGGGCGCTGGCGCGTGTTCGGCAGCCCCCGCGTGCGGCCCATTCAACATGTGCGTAGCGTGGTCCGTTTCTGGCGGGAGTGGGGGGAAGGAGGAGGACTGGGGGCAGGAGGAGGAGGAGGAAGAAACCGAGAAACCGAAAGGGTTGAGGAAAAGGAGCGGGGAGGAAAACGAGATCGCGGAGTTGGGCGTTGGACGAGGACGAGGGCAAGGTGAAGGAGGAGGTGGAGGAGGAGGCCTGTAATCTTGACGTTGAACACAGAGGGGCCCTGGTCCACTGGTTCGATGGACTCTTTCTTGGCGGCGACGAGCAGGGCCGCTGGCGGGGGTGTCCTGGGAGCCTTGGGGCGGCGCCGTACAGGCGGCGCCGACACGGTGTCGGCCGACATGGCTTGGCAGGCGTGCAACTGCGGGCCGTCCATGGGGGCGGACTCCTTTCCAGGAGGCGGGGGTGGGCCCATCACCGGGGGGGGAGTTGCCCCCTGCATTGTATGGAATATGTATTCTTGATCATGGGATCATGGGAATGGCTTCGGAGGATGAGGAAGAGGAAGAGGACGGACGAGGGATGAAGAGGAAGATGAGGATAGGGGATAGGGATAGGGGGATAGGGATGAGGAAGTCAGAAGGGGAGGAGGAGGGGGAGGACGAGAAGGAGGAGAAGGTTGTGGAGGCGGAAAGGGACGGCGCACCCCGCCGCGCCGCTTCTCTCGTCGGCCAGACCGAGGCCGGCTTTCCCCCCTTCCCCTCTTCCTTTTTACAACCGTTGCCCATAGACCATAGCCCTATACCCAATAACCCAATAACCCAATAACCCATACCCTATACCCTATACCCTATACCCAATGCCCTATGTCCTATGCCCTATGCCCTATACCCTATACCGTATACCCTATACCCCATACCCTGAATCCCATATCACCTACCCTTCCTGTTCTTCCTCATCCCGCCCCCCTTACCCTTTACCCCTTACCCCATTACCTCCACCCTCCCCCATTCCTGTTGTTCTTCATCAACGCGATAAGTAATAAAAGAGCCCACTGGCTGGGAGGCCCCCGCCAGCCGCCAGCCCCCCATGCACGACGCCGCGGCCTAACGTGCAAGGGGCTCAACCAGCACGGGCTGGCGGCTGGCAGGGGGCAAATATGCAGGGAGGCGCGAGCGCAAACCACTGCTCCGCACTCCACAGCATCGTTGCACAGCTGCGCAGCCGCCAGTCGCTGGCAGCTCACATGTATAATGTATAATGTATACATGTATACCCGAGCATACTCGATCTACGCCGGCGGGGTCGTCTTCTGCAGCTCATCGAGCTGTTTCTTGATCTCGGCGGGGACCTGCACCTGCAGGCTGGATGCCTCCTGGTAGAACTTCTTGATGTCGCTCACCTTCTTCTTCTGGATGATCTGGCACCCCGTGCGGCAAGTGATCAGCAGCCGGGCCTTCTTCCTGGTGGCCTTCGCCGCGTTCGACACCTTCTCGTAGTCCTCGCAATTCTTGTCTGTACCGCCGAGCGCGTCGACAAACTTGCCGCCATGCTTGATTTCCGTGTTGAGCATCTTCACCAGCTCGACCATGCGAACACGGTTGGGAAACTCGATCAGTTCCTGGATCTCATCGTCCAGCTTCTTGAGCAGCGGCTTCGGGTCGAACAGCAAAGTCTCCAACTCGTCGCTGGAGCGCTTCATCTTCTCGTTATGCCAGATCTCTGCCAGCTTATCCAAGTCCTGGGGGGGGGGCGGGCGCACACATGCAAACTCGCATTTCCCATCACCTCCCTCGCGCTCCGGTTGCTGGCTGCTAGCAGCTAGCGGCTAGCGGCTAGCGGGCTAGCGCGCTAGATGCTAGAGGCTAGAGACGCGGAGGGCGAGGCATAAGGCATAAGGCATAAGTGAATGGAATAAGGAATGGGGGATAAGTGGCAGCGGAAACCACCAACAGCACACAGCACCATAACCCCATAACCCATAGCCCATAGCCCAAAGCACAACTCAAACAGAGCGTGAGGGAAATGAACTGCGAGCAGAACGCATTTGTCTTCTGACGTGGGCCCCCGCCCCCCAGCCCCCAGCCTTCGATGTCCGCTTGACGTGCGCGTTGAACTGGGTCGCCAGCCGCTTGAGGTCCTCCTGCTTCGACTCCACCTTGTCCGCATCGAGGGTCGCGAAGGCCTTGCACTCGCGGGTCACCTCGGGGAACTTGTTCAGGAACGCCTGCACCTCTTCCCAGTCGGGGAAGTCATCAGTCGGCACCGTCGGCACCAGTACCTCGACTGGCTGGCACGCAGCGATGGCCTTCAGAGACGGGATTGCCCTGATCATCAAGTCGAGCTTCGACTGATCTGGGTGGTTGCCCTCTTTGTGGATGGTTTCGAGGATCTTCACCACGGTCTTGACATGGTCGATCTTCTGAATTGCCTCGGTCTCCTCAAGGCGGGCCGCCATTCTCTGGAGGGCCTCGTCCATGCGGCCGGATTCGTCGATGCACGTCGCGATGAAATCAATGGGCACGGGCAGTTGCTCCAAGGTGCCCGGGCCGACGGTGGCGCGCAGCATGGAAGAAGTATCCTCCCGAGCCTTGTCAATCGTGAATTTCAAGAGCTGAACCACCGTTCTACCGACCCACTCGCCGTCCTCCACCAAGGACGCGACGTATGCGACCGCCACATCAAAGAGTTCCATCTTGCAGCGGACGTGGAGGTCTTTCGCGAAAGAGGTCAGGAGCATCGGCTCGGCGGCGGCGAAGCCATTCGGGAATTGCTTCTTCATGCGAAGGTCCACCGCCAAAATGGTAGAGAGAGCCAACACACCTTCCCACGAGGAATCGTCTTCACATCCATAGGGGGCAACCATATCTATCAATCCGCGGCGGGTCTTGGTGAGGTCATGAAGGAAGCCTGAAAGAGTATCAAGATCAAGCTGAAACTTCTTAATAGCCTCCATCATGGTTACCTTCTGCTCAGGCGAAAGCTGCTCGAAATTCTCAGCCTGCGGCATGGCATTGAGCATTGATAGGGGCAGACGCCGCCACCCGAAAAGCCCCTGGCACGCGCAACCACCAACCCTCTTCCCCCCCCCCACCCACGCGCCACGGCCCAAAGGGGGACTCGCGATTCGCACCCCCGGACCTCCAAACTCCAAACCCCAACCCCCAACCCCCAACCCCCAACCCGACCCCCGCATCCCTTGGACTGTCGGGTCGCACGTGCCAGGCCCTTTCCAGGAGACCAGGGATGTGTCTACCAGTCAACCACTATGAATGCCCACTGCGCCTCTTTACACTCGTCCGGGGGGTCCGCGGTGGAAAAGATCTGGACGATGCCCGCAGCGGCGTACTTGCTGAACCTCCCCAATAACTGGTCAGTGATCTCCTTCAGGACCTTGCACATCGATTCGTGCTTGTGCCCCCCCATCTTGGCGATGACGCTGTAAAGGGTGTCCTTGGCGTCAGCGACGTTCTTGAGACCGTTTTTCTCCATGGATGGAGCCTTGTCGGCTGGGAGGTCGCACACCTGCTGCTTGGCCCGCGCGAGCTCATCCATGGTGCTCTGGTCTTTCAGAGCCGACCTGCATGCGGTCACTACCTCCTTGACATATGAGCGTCCGATCTTCGAGATTGCGAATGTGCTCAGGACTGTGTTCTCCGTGCGCTTGGGGTCCTGGGCAGCCGTCGCCTTGAGCTGGTACTTCTTCAGCTCCTGCGGAGAAGCGCCGAAAAGTTGAAACTAGGAACCAGGAGCTAGGAGCTAGGAGATAGGAGACTAGGAGCTAGGAGCTAGAAACTAGGATTTAGGACTCAGGAAGGACGTAGGACATAGGACAGTGGGCAGTAGGCAGTAGGAGACAGGGAAGGGGGAGAAGGAGGAGGAGGGAAGGATGGCGAGGGCCAGGAGGCCAGGGGGTCAGGGGGAGGGAACGCCAGGCGCTAGGCGCTAGGCGCTAGGCGCTAGGCGCTAGGCGCTAGGCCGCCAGTGGCCAGTGGGGGCTGGGCTGAGGGGGGCGAACTGAAATACAGACTGGTTTCCGCTGCCCACTCCTCCGTCACGAAGCCGCCGCCATCATGGTACTTGACAATCTCCTTGATAGCTTTGACGTCCTCCTCCACTGCTCTTGGAAGAGAAATATTGTCAAACATATTGAGGAACGGCATCACATCCTTCATGCATTCGTTCTCCGTCCTGTCTGGAGCTATACGATACGTGAAGACTTTTGCGAATATCTTGATGGCCAAATCCTGGCACGTGGCTGTCTGCAGCTGGCGATCGGCGATCGCGTGGATGCCCCACACCCTTGCATCGCCCGGCGCTGCTCCTGGAGCGGCGGACGTGCTCAAGAGCTTTATGGCTTCGTCAAGCGCGTTGCTAGACAGGTGGTCCTCGATCTTCTTCGAAGTAATGGCTGCCTCCATCGCGGGAGGGGGGCATACGCCAGCCTGGATCAGTTTATTGTATTGGCTCTCGATCTCGCCGAAGACGACGTTGGGGAAGGACGACATCGTCTTCATGAAAGCCGTCATCGCGTCATGTTTGGTCAAACACTCCTTCAGGGGCGGGGCCTGGGCGCGCGCCAGCCTGCCCTTGGCCACGGCAATTCTCCTCCACGCTGTATTCCCAGAAGCCGACAAAGTCTTCCAGTCGCGAAGGATCTTCTGCAGCTCGCGGCCCTTCGTCTTCGCGTATTTCCCCTCCGAAAAATTCTTCAAGCTCTCGTTCGCCGTGCTGATGATGTTCGTGGCCTCCGCGTCAGGTTCCCCGTCCGACATGTCGTCGTCATCCCCCCCTTCCGGCTTCGCAGTGTCCGCCTTCTTGGCAGGGGCACTTGACCGCGCACCCCCCTTGCTGGGGCGGCCGCCAGCAACGGTGCCTCCTGCAATGGACTTCGTGCCTTTGTACGCAGTTGATTTTGCTTCAGACTTCGCGCTGAGCCTGCGCCTCTTCAGGACGTCATTTCCATCGTCACCATCCTTGCCATCGCCCTCATTCTCCGACTCAGACTGGGATTGGTCACTCGAGGAGCTCCCCGAAGTCCCTCCTGAGCCTTTCTCTGAGCTTTTCTCTGAGGGTCCAGCGTCCTCGTCGTCGCCCTTCTCGGCCTTGGCTTTGTTTTTGAAGGCCTGGTCCAGAGTCTGCACGCCGCTGGAAGGCACTGCAGGAAAGCTTGAATCCTCCACGGCTGCCGCGACTTCTTCTGCTTCGGACCCGATATCCGTCATGTCGTCCAGTTGCGCCTCATCTAAGACAGCGGAGCCGTCATCGAGGGTGTATTCTTTCGTGACGTCGATGACGAGGCCCCGGGTGATGGGGTAGACCCCGTCTTCACCTTCCCTGACAATCACGCCCTGCATGATGCCCTTTTTCTTGACGTTGATCTTCACGATATTCGCTTTTGTCTTCTTCGGGTCTCCGATCTTTTCCCTGTACTTGGCCAGCGTGTAAAATACCTCCCTCGGCTGGTGCACCTGCGGGGCTGCGGCCCCTCGGGCTTTCGCCCAAGGCCAAATGAGCCGCACCAGACACCAGAAACCAGAACGAGTCCTCTTCCCTCTTCCCCCATCCCCCTCTCCTCATCCCAGTCCTCATCGTCGTCGCCCCTAATCCCCTATCCTCCCCTTCTCTCCTCCGCCTTCTCCTCTCATCATCCACCTCCTTCTCCTGCTCCCCGGAGCGTGCTCCTCCTCCTCCTCCGCCCCATCATCCACCTGCTCTTGCCCTGATCCTGCTCCTCCTCCTCACCCCCCTCCTCCGCCTTCTCCTCCGGCCCCCTCCCCATCCCCCCCCCCCCAAATGCTTACTGCCCCACTGCCCCTTCTCACGCTCCTGCCCCTCAGGCCCCAGGCCCCAGGGCCGCATCCTCGCTCTTCCCCCTGACGAGTTTACCCCCGAGACTGGTTTCGCAATCCGAGCCGCTCAGCTTTGACTTGGAGCCAGTGGGGAAGGGCAAGGGGCAAAGGGCTAATGGCTAATGGCTAACGGTGAATTGTCTCGCTGTCCAGTCTAACGTCTAGGGGTCTAGGGTCTAGGGTCTAGGGGTCTAGGGGTCTAGGGGTCTAGGGTCTAGGGTCCAGGTGTCTAAGGGTCTAGAATCTAGACTCTAGACTCTAGACTCTAGAATCTAGAATCTAAGATCTAAGGGTCTAAGGTCTAAGGCCTAAGGTCTAAGGCCTAGAATCTAGAGTCTAGAGTCTAGAGTCTAGAGTCTAGAGAACGCAGTCTCTGGAGTCCTAGTTCGAGCCGCTGCTGGGGCGCCCAGGACCTGAGACATGAGGACATGAGATCGGAATGGGAAATTGATATGGACGATAGGGGTCGACTCAAAACTCCAGAAGCGGGGACGAATTCAAGCAAAGCTGCAAGGCCCACGGCTCCTCAGCCCTAAGCCCGAAGCCCTAAGCCCTAAGCCCATATCCTAAGTCCAAGTCTTACGTCCTAGGTCCAAGGTTCCTAGGTCCTAGGTCCTAGGCCCCCCAGCCCTAGTCCCTAGTCCCCTAGTCCCTAGCCCCTAATCCCTGGTCCCCAGTCTCTAGTTATCCAGGTATCCCCCAGCCTCCTAGCTCCTAGCTCCTAGCTCCTAGCCTTCCTAGCCTTCCTAATCCCTAATCCCTAGTCCCTAGCCCCTAGCCCCCTAGCCCCTAGCCCCTAGCTTCTCGACCCTAGCCCCTAGCCCCTAAGCCCTAAGCCCAAAACCCCTAGCCCCTGCCTCCTAGCCTCCTAGCCCCCAGCCCCCTAGCCCCTAGCCCATCCACCCGGGTCCCTCCAGCCGCGCCCGATTTTGGGAGCCCTGCCACCTCCACCTTGAAGTGCTGCCTGGCCAAGACCTTGCCAACCAGGGAACGCACGCGGGACTTGCCACCAACCTTCTGATGGATGTACTCTGCGACGCAGCTCTCGAACTGCTGTTTAGTGGCTTTCTTCTTGGAGTCCAGGAGAGCATCTTTGAAAGCTTTCAAGTCTTTCTTCCACTTCTTGCGGAACCGGAGCCTCCACACGTTGTAGCAGATCCGGCACCACTCCCCGCTCTTCCGGATGACCCTCACTCTCTTGCCAGTTTTGTTGCACCTGATCTTGCGCGTGTTTGTTTTCCCCCAGTTGCAGCGGCGCGGAGGCTCTCTCTTCATAGCGGCAATCTTGCACATCGATTTGCTCGTGGTGTCGCACGCACAACACTGGAGCTCAGGAGAACTTGGCAAGTCGAGGTCGGCCAGCTCCATGGCCTCCTGATCGCTGCCCTGGTTGCCCTCGCCGTCGGAACCCGCGAGACCCTTGAGACCATCGTCCTGGCGGCGCGCACCCTCCGTCTTTCTCCTCTATTCTCCATCCCCTGTCCCCTGTGGCCCGTGGCCTGTGGCCATCTACGGGCCCTCGAGCTGGGCAGCTGGGCCATCCATGCCCCCCTTCATTATCGGCCCCCAGTCCCTGATCCCTCGAGGGGATGAGGGGGGGGGGGGGCCACGGCCCAGAGTCAAAGCCTAATGCTTGACTTTGAACCTTGACCCTCGACCCTTGACAGCCCATTGTTGTCCGAATCAGATCCCATCCCCGCGCGACCGAATGCGCGACGGGGCCTGCGCTGACTCTGCAACCCGCGCCCCCAGGAAGCCAGAAAGCCCATTGGCGCCAAAACGTCGGCACCGAAACCCGTTTCCCAGAGCCCGCGACCAGGACACCCAGGGCTTAGGACTTAGGACTTAAGACTTAAGACTTAGGACCCAGGCCCTTGTCCTTAGCCCTTAGCCTTTTGCCCTTAGCCAATCCCAAACCCCGAACATTGGAATCATGGAACGGACCTGAAACGCGAAACATCCAGGGCAGTACTGCGCGTCTTTGCCAAAACGCAACTTCCATGCGCTTCAGTAAAGAATGACAAAACGCAAAGCCGACTCCCGAACCCCAGACACCGACCGTGCCGATTCAGCTTTTCGATTTGAGCTTTCAGACCCCCGTAAAGAAAATATCTCAGTTCCAGGCTCTAGTCTCTAGTCTGTAGTCTCTATTCCATATTATCTGGTATCTAGTCTCTAGTCTCTAGTCGAGGGTCTAAGGTCTCTGGTATAAAGTCTAGGGTCTAGGGTCTAGGGTCTAGGCACAGCTCCCAGCGACGGCAGACTCACGCATTACAGCGCTAGACGGTAGACGCTAGGCGCTAGAGGCTAGAGGCTAGAGCCTAGAGCGTTGAAAGCACACTTCTAAACACTAAAACTAAGAAAGGAAAGGGGTAACGGAGCCAAATGCCAAGACTACGGGACTACGTGCCACGGGCTACGGGCTACGGGCTACCCGGGGCTGGGGGGTGGGGCTTGGTGCTTGGGCGTTGGAGTTTGGTTGACCACGGTGGTTTCCAGAATGGGAGTGGCGCGACGGCTTGTTATTCTTTATTCTTTCGTCATCACAAGTGTCACCATCATAATATATACTCTATACTCTATACCACCCGTCACCATCATCGCGTTGGTTCCCAACTATGTTGTGGTGTTGGGTTTCGCTTTGAAGGGAAAGCGCCCCGCGTCTCCTGCTCCTCCTTCTCCTCCTCTCCTCACCTCCTCCCCCGTCCTCCCTCCTCCCATCATCATCGTCATCATCATCGACATCATCATCACCGCCGTCACCCGTCACCATCACCACCATCATTTTCCATTTTCATCATTATCGCCGTCATCTCGATTCGTGGCCCCATAGGCCATAGGGCATGGGGAGCTCCACCGAAGGCCCCAGTGGCATGCATCGCGTGCCGCCCCCCCCCACCCCCCACCCCTCCACATTGGCACCCCCCCCTCACACGTTTCGTGGCCCTATGAGGGGGCTCCACCGCGGGCCCCAACGGCACGCCGCCCCCCCCCCCCCTCATCCACTCTGGCACACCCCTCGCACGGAATCGTAGCCCCAAAGGAAGCTTGGAAGCTCCACCGAGGGCCCCAGAGGCATGAATCGCATGCCGCCCCGCTCCACTTTGGCACACCCCGCACCTGTTTCGTGGCCCCACCACCGAAGGCCCCAGTGGCTGGCATGAACCGCATGCCGCCCCCCATCCACTCTGGCACACCCCCCGCGCGCTTCGTGGCCCCATGGGGAGCTCCGCCGAAGGCCCCAGTGGCATGAATCGCATGCCGCCCCCCCTCCCATTTGGCATTTGGCACACCCCTCAAACGTTTCGTGGCCCCAACCCCCACACCCCAACCCCCAAACTCCATAGGGAGCTTCACCAAACACAATATTCACAGCTGCAGTACCGACAACTGCACGTGTATGGGCCCTGCGCTAAGATTGCTAAGAGCGAAGAGCTAAGAGCTAAGAGCTAAGATATGTTTCCTGGCTCCTAGCCGCCTTCAAGTAGCGATGACGTAGAGGCCGTCGCCGCCTGCTGGGCGGTACTCGCAGTACCTGGAGTGCGCCAGGGGGGGGGGGGTCGTCACACCCAGCATTGTCATCCTCCCGCCTCAACCCCCAGACCCCATCCCCCATCCCACGCCCCGCCCCCACCCCCACCGCCAATCAAAACTCGAGGCTCAAGACTCAAGACTCAATATTCACGATTGAAGGATTTAGGATTTAGGGTTCAGGGTTTAGGGGTTGCAGGTTACAGATTTGGGATCTGGGGGGTTGGTGAAGAGCCCAGAGTCAAGAGTCAAGAGCTCAGGGCGTGGGGCTTCGGGCTTGGCTTGGGCCAATGGCTAATGGCAAGTGGGTGAAAGGGTAGTGGATTGCCCCAGGGCCCCCAGGCACCCCATGAAGACCGCGTCGGCCCTGACGAGGCGGAGGCCGACAGCTCGCGAAAGCCCAGGCGGCCTCTCCCACTCGGGGTACCGGGTACAGGACACACTGCGGGAAAACACATGGCGCGAACAAAGCACAAAGCATTGCCTGGGGGGAAGATCCAGTACGGCTGGGTCGCCCCAGGCGGCATGAAGAATCCGCGCGGCACCCATGGAGGGATGCCGTCCGCCCCCCGGAAGTATGGGAGGTGGACCACCCTGGCAGCATCTGGCATTTGGCCTTTTGCCTGAGCCAGAAGCCTGAGGCTTAAAGCTTACAGCTTAAATCTTAAAACAAAAAGCCGGCAGCCTTAACGCCTAAACCCCAAACGCCTCAACCTCACACATAGCACATACTTTGTGCATCGTTAACCATCAACCCCATTAAACCCTTGAACATTTACCCCTTACCCCTTAACCCTTAAGCCTTAACCCTTAACCCTTAACCCTTAACCCCTTAACCTTACCCCTTGACTCTTGACCGTAACATTTAACCTTAACCTTTAACCCTTAACCCTTAACCCACAACCCACCTGAACGCCGAAGCTCTGAAACAGCGCTGGAGGTCGCGGGGGCCCATTACATATTACATGTCGGCCTTTCTATTGTGGATAATACAGAACTGTCCAACGCGCTCGCGGGTGACACGTGTCACCGTCGGCCTCCTTAAAGAGCCACAGAATTTTTTAATTCAGTTTTTGGAATTACATGCA